ACCCACCCACTCACTCACTCACTCCCTCACTCACTCACTCACTCACTGACTCACTCACTCACTCACTCACTCACTCACTCCTTTGATTGCTGACCGAATCACTCGTTCCCTCACTTTCGTTCTCAGACACTCGTCACTGACTCAGTGACATGACTTACTCACTCATTCACTCGCCACCCCAACTTGACTCACCCTTTTGTGGGCAACGCAGGGCTAAAATTTAGACAGGGAAGTGGCCATGCCAAGTTGACTCACCCTTTCGTGGGCCATGCAGGGGTAAAATTTAGAGAAGGATGTTGCCATTTCAACTTGTCCAACTTGACTCACCCTTTTGTGGGCCATGCAGGGGTAAAATTTAGAGAGGGAAGTGGCTATGCCAAGTTCACTCACCCTTTTGTGATGCAGAAAATTTAGAGAAGGATGTTGCCATTTCAACTTGACTGACCCTTTTGTGGGCCATGCAGGGGTAAAATTTAGAGAAGGATGTTGCCATTTCAGCTTGACTCACCCTTTGGTGAGCCACCCGGATGTTGCCATTTCAACTTGACTCACCCTTTTGTGGGCCATGCAGGGATAAAATTTAGAGAAGGATGTTGCCATTTCAACTTGACTCACCCTTTTGTGACACACAGGAAGATTTGAGCGGAAACTTGGCTTTTAAAAACTAAAGCTGCTGCTGTTCTAAAAAAGAGGCCAGAAAGCCAGGAAGAGACAGGAACAATGATTTAATATAATGCATTAAAGAATTGACAAAATGTATGAAATAGAATGAAATTACTCCAAGAATCAGAAAAGAAAAAACCTTCAAACACTTAATCACTCACGTTAGTTCAGAATAATGTAGCGCATACCTGAAAGTGTTAGCCGTGTCTGCTCATAGGGGGAGGCGCGTCCCCCTCCCCCCAACCCCCCCTGTGCCACAAGACTCCTGCCACGAATTTCGACTCTGAGCGGAAACTGCCTGTTAGCCAGGAGGCCAGGCAGGAGGAAAGAGATTAGTATACAGGCCGACGCCCAGCCCAAAGAGGGTTCGTGGTAGAATTATTATTTTTTGATTAAGTATTTAGTTTTTTATTGATCCCCTTGACTAAGTTTTTCTTGATGCGATAAATAGTTTTTTTGATACTTCACCGGTCAGTCCTGTGGTTGCGTTAGTGGACGTGGTACTTTTCGCCTTCGGAAGGACTCCCTCAGCAACGCCGATTTGGAGGCAGAGTATCCTAGTAGCGTCCTTGCTCGTTGTAGCGATGCCCTTTGCTCCTAGTAGCGTCCTTGTTCCTAGTAACTCCTAGTAGTAAGGCCAGGAGCCCCTAGTAGCTTCTCGTTACTAGTAGTAAGGCCAGGAGCCCTCATGGTCCAGGGAGGGGTGAGATGTCATGTTTATGACACGGTGAGCGACACACCTCTAGAGCTTACATTGATACGCAGTAAGTCGTCTATTTTGGACAAATGGTCACACTCTTATACTGTCATACTCGTTGTGGGTGGTAAATTCACAATGCGGGCAACTCACTGCATCTACTCCAAAGGAAGTCAACAAGACATCCCATGTTCAATTCCACATGTGCAAAAGAACCGAATTTGTGGTTCTTTTGTTGAGCTTCTGAGTGACAGGCCTTGGAGCTACCAAACACGCACCACCGATCAAAGCTCGAGGAAGTTGAGGCCGCTCTGCAATATAGATCATTGAGAAATGCCTTCAATATTTTTCACGTCGGACTTCAAACTTCTTTCGCGTCTCATTTCTATGAATTCCATTCCGCCTTAGCAGCCTCCAACCAATCCTGAACCTCACTTGCTTGGAAGTGCCATAGTCGACTAGTCACACACTGATCAATAAAACACAGCTGAGGCCGTGCACCGCCGACGGTGTTGCTTTTTCTCCGGCTGCGGTGGTTCTTAGTATCGAGGTGGTGGCTCCCCACCTTAGACACAAGACTCAAGTTTCTCAGTAGCTTGGAAGCTGTTTAGTCTGAGTTGGGGAACCACTTCCTCTGCAAAAATCTCTGGTCATAAACAATCAGGGCGTGTGTGCGCATGAAAATGATTTGTTTGAGGTGTACCAGCATAGTTTGCCGTTCGTATTTGCTGTCCGCGCAAGCCCTGAGACTGGGATCAACGGCCTCATGTTGAAACTGGGGGAGTGTCGATATGGATTGCACGAGCAAGAGTGGCATCGAGCCAGATACGGTGAATGGAGGTGAATGAATTCATATATGTACTTGTGATGTTTGTGAGCAGAGGTGCTAGAATACAATCAAGGACCTGTAAGGACACCCCTTCTGGACATTTTAACCACGGAGAGGTATATACACTACGCATGCATATTCACTATATAAGACTATACATGTCGCTGCACATAGAGTGCTTAGATATAGGCACAACCCGTTTCAAAGGAGGAAAAACAACATGCTGGCTGTGCAATGCAAACATGTTTGAAGTAGAGGACGTCACAAAACAGACAACAAATGCTACAGATGCAGAGATTGTCTAGTCGCAAGCGTGACCTGCAGTCCAGAACCATGAACGGGCTAGTAGACTGGCTTATATAATTCATTTCTTTTTCAGCCAAAGCTCTGAAAGCATTGGCTGCACGATTTCTGCGGATTCAACACGTACACAAGTGATCAGGTTGTGGAATGTCACAATTCTAATATGTGTTACACAAATGACCAAAGCATAATTAGTTCAGTGGCAATACGATGAAGCTCAAAGTCGAGCAAGTCATCCAACTTTTTCAGTGATCGTGCTTGCAACCACCAGCGCCCAAAGCGCTGCGCGTTTAGTTTGGCATATAAAAATAGACCAGACTGTTTGCTGCCTGCTACTGTGGTGCACCTGGCGCGGGAAATGGACACTACGAGGGTAGCACTGCAGCACCAGGATGAATTCGAGCTTTCACACTGCAATGATTTGGTAGCTTTTCCAGAAGTTGGGAATCAAATGAGAGCCGAGAGATTCACTTCTGCCACACATCAGCAACAGACTGATGAGGCGTGTTTAGACAAGGTGCACCCTCCAACAGCCCGAGATTGCCTAGGCTCGAAGTGTGCCTGAGTACTCCGCCAGTTGGCTGTAGAGTTTACCAGTAATCGCCCTGTAACAGGAAATCAGGTCTCCCATTATATCGGCACCTCACTGAAGGTAGGATCACGATATTTGTGAGGTGGCAACATGCACATTCGAGGATGGGCAGTCTTTCCAAGTGATAAGGAGGCTTAGTTGGAGATGGATCACGTCGCGGCAGAGACTGCACTCATGGAGAGCCTTGATGTTGCTCATGGTGCGTGGATCCTGACGAGTCCAATTCAGCAGGTGGATGAACGCATCGAATTGACAATGTAGGAACTGGAAGGCCTGAAGATAGATGCGATGAACTTGGTTCATGGCAGAGGGGCACTTCCATCATTTCCTCATTCACATGACAGCGTGTAGCCTCAATGAACACTTATGAACAGTTCATTTCTTGAAACCACCGCTTAGCGGCTAGCCTTTGTTTGTTCTTGGGCGCTCAAAGAGCAGTAGGTCAGCAGGTGAGTCCAATCTCTTTTTTTCTCAGCCTTGAGGGCATCCTGGGGCTCCGAGAGCGGCGTGACACGAATGAGCTCGGTGCTGCAGAGAAATGGTGACAACCTCCGGCTGCAACGACTCAGTGACCAGCGGTTTCACATGATTTTGCTGCCATCGCTATTAAAAACACAGAAAAAACGCCACTAGTAACAAGGGCATCACTACAGTACTATAGTGGCAAGAAGCTACTAGTAACAACGGCATCGTTGTTAGAAACAACGAAAGAAAAGGAAGAAAGGTCTAACATAGTTTGCTATTAGGCCTCTTGGAGCGAACGATTTTCCTGGAGGATGTCGGAGCTGCGCACAAATTCGAACCGATGCTCGGTGTTGTCTCATCCTTGCAAAAAAGGGACTCTTTGTCACTGACCATGTGACTCAGGACTCAGCTGGCTGAAGCCTTGTTTTCTTCAGCTTGCACAAAGACTGTCACTCATTCCTGCTTTTGAGTTTTAAGTGACCTTAGTCCTTAGTATAAGAAAGATCTTTGTGACAGTTTTCAAGACCTTACTGTCTGTTTGTAACTGTAATCTTCTGCCGCTCGCTTGAACAGAATAGGACTACCATGACTAGTTGCTAGTTCAGTGTTCCGAACTGAAACTCTCTTTGTAGCGAGAGCCGCTTCTTCATGTGACGGACAGGAACGGCCGGTTCCGCCACCTGTCTGCATTACTACTAGGAGCAAGGACGCTACTAGGGGCTGTAGTACTGTGTAGGTCCTCGATTTCCCTAGTGCCCAAGTATGTCGTTTTTCATCGAAACACAGGACACCAGGAGCCTTGAGACTTTCACATCAGCTAGCATTAGCGTTGGCTTTGAACCTGCCATGGACAATTAAAAGCTACCGCTTCTGCAACTTTTGTCTCTTGATTACAGCCTGTGCCAATAATCGCTATGGCAAGTAGGCAGAGAATCAAGACACCTAGAAGGACCAGGAGTTTAAGGCTCTCCAGTCATTCTTCGTCTACTCGGTGCACTTTGTTCCTTCTCTAAAATATTGTGTGAGCATTCGTGAAAGTATAAATGAGCTGAAGTCAATGGGTGTTCACCAAGTGACCAAGGGAGCCAGAAGAGGAGCAGGCAACAACGGGATCGTTGGAATCGGATCTCCAGGTCTTTTCGTCGATGCTCCTTCTGAGCAACCTTCACACATGACATGACATGACCTTCATTGACCTTCTGAGTTTCCATCGCAACTTCAAACACATCGGAACTTGCTTTCTTCATTGCCAGTGCACCTACAATGCGGAGCGTGTCATTGGCAACGGCACCTTTGGAATCGTGTGCGACCATTGATCGCGATTTCAGCCGTCCATGGTTTACTTCATCGCTTTTGAACTTGTGCTTTCTCACCTGCCGTGTGCATGTTTCATTCAACAATTTGTTTGGCCCCAGGACTCAAGGATTCCCAACACTGTAGGTACTCTGCGCACATTGTGGAGACGAATGAGACGGTGGCCATCAAGAAGGCGTGTAAAGGTCTTTACGGTGCAAATTCGGCTTCTGCACAACTTTGTACATTTCTCGTCGTATTTCAGTGCTTCTTAGTCTGGATTATGACAAAACATAAACATTATATAAATGTTTCTCGTTTGCGACACTCCAATGTTTTAAGTTTAGACTCTAGAAGTCTTCCTCTGACCGCTATTGCAGACATCTCGGGAGAAGTGCAGGTCTTTGTGGATCGCCGCTACCGCAACAGGGAGCTCCAGGTTTGGAGGGAGATGCATCATCCGAACATTGTCACGCTGAAGGCTGGTGCTTTAATATTTTAAAGTCTCAACATGTACACAACGCACGTTTTGCACGTGGACCATTTGGCCTTGTGTGCAGCATGCCTTCTACACCTCTGGCGACTTGGTAGATGAGTTGTATCTCAATATGGCCTTCGCCTCAGATCGACTTGGCCCTCAGCAGCTTGCAATTGCTGGATCATGCAAGAGTACTTGGTCGCTGGACCACGAGATTGGACAACATAATTAACAGAATTGTATTTCAAAACCAAGGTTATGGAATATGTGCCTGAGACGGTCTACTGCGTCATGAAGCGATTTGGTCGGCCCTCGCTGCTTCCCCATATTTTCAGAATGTTTCTTTCAATGTGCTCGCGCCGATCGCAAGACGCTCTCAAGCTGTCACAGATAGCTGAGACATGCCTGCCTTGAATCATTGAAGATACTTTTGGACTGCACAATCTAAAAGTAAAGTCTTTCAATCTTTCAGTAGACCTCTCGTAAATGACAACTTTGCATGTGGTTTTGGTCAAGTGCCTGTTGCTTTGGAATAGTATCAACGCAACGGCGATATGAGATCAGAACAACATCAACCAATCACACCAGAAGCCAACATCCTATCAGCTTGATTCTTTAAACTTGGCCATGGTTGCTCAGAAACGCAGGCGATCCGATAGAGCAAACTGAAGAAGTTGTGGAATACCTCCGTTTCAAATCTGCAGAGGTATCTCCTCTTCGAAGTGCTTGGCTCGACTCGTGTTGGGCCCTCGTGACGGACGTCCTTTGAGCGACTTCTTTTTTTGCAGAAGTGACGTCAGCAATGAGTTCTGATGAGTCCTGTACTAAGGCCGCCTCGGAGGATGAGCTGATGAGAGCCTTTCGAGAGGCAGGTCTGATAAGAAGACACGCGAAAACACGTGGTGACACGCAAAAACCGTCGCAACATCTTTGGACGACTTCAGGGAGTTCGGCATTTCACCGAGTTCATGTGGTCTTTCAAGTATTAGCCTCGACAGCACCAAATGCACGCAACTTGACCATCGACAAAGGGGCAAGGTTTGCATGGTCAAGATTATAGTATAATTATAGATGTGATGTGATGTTGGATCATCTTTGGATGATAAAGCCCCACTAGTAACAAAGCCCCTCCACAATTCCGAGCTGGAATTTTCGAGATTCCTTTGGAGGCCATCGCTCTTAGGTTGGAGGCCATTGCTAGGTGTCGGCCCGAGTACCTCCCAGCTGGTTCACCTGGTCATGCCAATGACTCGGGGGGGTAGCCCGCTTAGGTTTGATCCCGAGCCATGGATCGAGATGGTTTGTGATGGCTCCTCTGTGACGGTTGCTGGCCGTGCATGGTTCTACGACCAAGTCAGGGATGCTTACCACTGTACATCAGTGTTGCATGAACAGAAGTTTTTGCTGCAGGGCATCCGACTGAAGGGTGATAGGTTCACGCTCATCAATGCCTGCAAAAGGACGCAGTATGATATGACCTTCCTGGATGCCAGTCATGCATCGGTGCAAATCCATGAGATGCTGCATAGTGAAGATGTCAACGACATCATTGACGTGTGTTCTGGCTATGCGGTTATGACTGCTGGGTACCACCTACTGCACTGCAAGGTGAGGTGTCATGTTGAGATTAACCCACGATATGCTGCCTGGCTTAGGACCAGAAAGACGCCAGTCATTGAGGGTGACATCGATAGCCCCGAAGTACAAGTGCAGCTGATCCCATATACTGAAAGGCCTTGCATCCTGACAGGGGGATTTGCCTGCCAGCCGTTCTCACAGCTGGGCGATCAAAGACAACAGATGGACCCACGTGCCAGGAGCTTCGAGGGGATGGTCACGGCCTGCTACCTTTTCCAACCTGCAGCCATGATTTTAGAGTGCACGAAGGAAGCTATGACATCCACTTGGGTTCAAAGCACGCTGCACAATTTTTGTCAGCTCACTGGATACTCCTTCCAACAGCAGGTTTGTCATTTGCACGAATTCTGGCCAGCTAAAAGGACAAGGTGGTGGGCGATCATTGCGCACCCATACGTGAACATGCCGCCGTTGAAGAGCTTCCCAAGCTTGGACTTCAAGCCTTCGTTCCGGCATCTCCTGCCAAAGATTGCCATGTGGCCGGCAGAACAAGTCCAAGAGTTGAAGTTGTCGGCGCTCGAGCTTGAAGTTTTTGCTGAACAGCCAGGTGGGTTAGGATGCAATGCAGTGAACCCCACCAAACCGTCGCAGACAGCGCTCCATGCATGGGGGTCCCAACTGACCGCGTGCGCATGTGACTGCAGGGCAGGGGCTTCACTCCCAGAAGACTCGAAGAGAAAGGACTGTACGGGGCCCTGATCCCCACCACCGGATCGACCATAGTTCGAGGCCATGAGATAGCTAACATGAGACACATATACCCTGATGAGGTGGCTGTTCTGCATATGGTTCCGACACAGCATATCTGACAAGATCAGGGCCGAAACTTGCGTCTTGACCTTACCGCACTCGGCCAGATGGCCTCACCTGCTCAGGCTCTATGGCATGTAGCTCAAGTCATCCAGGCCTTTGGCAATGCGTTTGGAGCGCCGACGCATCATGCACTAGCCGAACAAGGCTTGTTGCGGCTTGCGGTTGAAACATTTGCTGCGCGTGATGAGATGCTCCATCCGTTCACTCATACCAAGGAGTCTGCGTTGTTCCAGGCAGCCATTCATGCCAAGTTCGGGGTAGGCTATGAACCAATGATCCACATGCATGACACAGCTGAGGGATCGATTGACCGTGCGCAGCCGCCCAACCATCGTGGACACTTGAAAAGGAAGATTGATGACGCAGATGCCTCAAGCCATTTCGCCTACAGGGGGTTTGGAGTTTTTCGCCAACCGGTCCTTGTCACAGCAGACCTCCCAAAGCGCCTCCCGGCTTGACCGCCCGCCTGCCCAGGACCACGCTGATGATCATGCACGCCGAGTCACAGCCCATGTTCGGGGCAAAGGCATAGGGGGGGATGATCTTAGCAAGTTGTCCCCAACCGGTTCATCAATTAGGTCTTCGTGCGCCACGTCCACCAGGTCTGGATGTCCCGAAGTTCCCACACATCAAGAGGGTTGTGCTGCACTGGTATGTCCTGAGGAACCATCCATGTATTCCAATACACACGGTACTGTCTTGCAGGGAGCATCCGACATCGATTTAGTGCCTGACAGCCCGCACCACAGCGGCCCCGGTTTTGCAGGACGAGGAAAAGGCAAAGGAGGCACGAGCGCACTGAGCGCTGGCCAATTCGAACCTGCCGTACTGCAAGGGTCGCACACACCAAGGGAAGATGGGGGGGGACACTCACCCTCCAATTCAGTTGCAGGAGGGTTTGATCCAATCTCATTGCTGCCGACCGACAACTTCGCTATTTCAGTTTGTAGCAAGGGGTGCAAGCCCACTCCAGTCCAAGTCCGTTCTGGCACCACAGTAGGTCAGCTGTCCCAAGCCGAAGAAGGGTTCTCAAGCTTTGCGCAGCCCATCGCAGTCACAACACTCACCGGGTTCCCGTTCCCCTTGAATAGCAAGCTCACGCCGTCCACATGGTATGTCATTGCCAACGGAGCCACCCACACGACTCCCAAATGTCCGGAAGTCCATGCGTGCCAATCCACTGTCTTGACACTCCAGGGTCAGAGCCGGTTTCAGGGTTTGCTGGTCCAAGGCCCGTTGGTAGCAGTTGATGAAATGCAGTTCTATGTGAGGTGTCTGATCCACTTGAACTCCAAGATTTCGCAGACAGTGACCAGCAGATTGCAAGCTGGGCGCTCCAGTCCCTGCGTAGCCATGATCTCGACCATACTCTGACCCTGTTCACGGTCCCAGTGCTGGCTCGGAGCCACTGGTTTCCGATTGGATTACAGGTGCAGCAAGGGACAGCAACTATGATGATGCCGGTGGAAGTAGCAAACACTGTTCAACAGCTGGTCATTGACGCCTGTGGACCACATGAACTAGGCTTCTCTGCATTCGTACTGCCCACCGAGTTCGCTGCAGACTGTGGTTTTCAGACCGTCAACTGGTTCTTTGCTCGAGCCACTGGCAATGAGTCCCCAAAGGCAGTCACACCTGCCCAAGCTGATCAATGGAGGGTTCCATTTGCCCTGCAGTGCCTTCGACGTGACCATGCCCTGCATCCTGATCAGTTGCTCCTGCAGTCGGTGCTGAAGCAACATGGAGTGGCCCAGGAACGCATTGCAGGATTGTGCAACAAACCTCATCAACAAGCTAGGACAGGAGGCCATTGTGAAAGCGCTAGGCAGCTCCCAGCCTTGGAAAGACTTGAAGACACTTGCTACCCAGGCCTCTCCACCGATCCGTATCGTCCTGGCCTCAGAGATTGATGCAGCAGTTCGTGCACGGCTTGCGACCGACAAGCCAATGGCGTCCAAGGCTAATAAGACCAAGGCAGCTAAAGGTCCGAAACCACCGGTCATCCCGACAGCAGATCAGATCCAATTGCCGGACTCGATTTTTTGTGCAACAAGACGGTCAGAAGCTTCATGCCATCCCAGTGCACAAAGTCGAAGCGCGCGCTCAGGGAGTGGCATTGTGCAACATTCATGAGGTCCTGCATTTCCTTGGGCTTGCAGCGCCGATCAGTGCTGAGGGAATTGCATTGCTCATCTTGGATCACGCCGACGCTCGCCTGCCGCCCACCGTTGAGCAAATTCGAATTCCGGCCATGTCAGCTAGCGCCAGTGAGCCGATGTTGGTCTCTGCAGCCACGCTCCAGCTCGGAGCTAAGCAAGTCCTGCATAATGTTCCACCCGAGAGTTAGGCCCTCGAAGAGATTCAGACCAAAGTGCTCAAGGTCCTTGTGTACCAAGATGAATGGGTGGGGGTGTGGGGTGCTTTCGTACAACGCCCTGTCAAAGCCATTTTTGACCACAACCTCATGCAAGATCCTGCATATTCTCAGACTGAGCGCATTATGGACGTCTGGGACCGCCAGATGTTGGACGCCAAAATGGCCCGTGCGCCGGCTGCCCAGGCAGAGATCTTTGCCGTGCTCATCAGGGTCACTGACCGATTCGCACCGCGCCTGATGCCCAGCTCCACATTTAATGGCATTTATTTCGAACCCAGGACCATGGATGGACGCAAGCCGGACCCACAGTTCCGAGTGATCTGGGTGCCCAAAAAGAACCTTGCGCAAGTTAGGTTGGTGCGCAGTCAGACTGAAGCACGCGCAACCATCTTTTGAATGGGACCTCGATTTGGACTCAGGGCCGACAAAGATCACGCAGAGCAGGTCCATGTGCAGCAGTGACCAGATCTGATGTTCTTGGACGGCCAAGCACTTTGGCCGTTCAAGGTTGGCCCGTTCCCGTATGGCTCCACCAAAGCCTCACTATCCAAAGGGTTCAAGCATCTCACGGGTTAAGAGTGCATGC